CTAAACTTGCTGGAAGATAAGTTAGGCAGAACTCTGGAAGACATTGGCATAGGAAAAGACTTTATGAACAAATCCTCAGTAGCACGGGAACTAGCAGAAAGAATCAACAATTGGGATCTCATCTTATTAAAAAGCTTCTGCACTGCAAAAGAAACTATCCACAGAACTAAGAGATAACCTACAATGTGGGAAAAACTTTTTACCAGTTGCTCCTCAGACAAAGGGTTATTGTCTAGAAAATATAAAGAACTCAAAACAACCACCCCCTACAAATATAAAGACTCAATTCAAAAATGGACATCTGAAATGAACAGTTCTCAGACAAAGAAGTAAAAGCAGCAAGTAAATATATGAAAAATGTTCCACATCACTGGTCATTCGAGAGATGCAGATGAAAACAACACTTGAGATTCCACCTCACCCCACAAAGAATGGCTGCTATCAAGAAATAACACAATAACAAATGTTGGCAGAGTTGTAGGGAGAAAGGAATTCTTCTCCATTGTTGGTGGGAGTGCAGACTGGTGCAACTCCTGTGGAAATCAATATGGAGATACCTCAAAGAGATGGGACTAGAGGTTCCATTTGACCCAGCCATAGCTCTGCTGGGTATCTTTCCAAAAGAATTATATCACAGTGACACATGAGCACCTATGTTTATAGCAGCACAGTTTGTAATAGCTAAAACATGGAAACAGTGCATTTCCTCATCAGTTGGAAACTGAGTAAAGAAGATGTGGTTTTTCTATAAAATGGAATACTACTCAGCCATAAAGAATGAGAAATTAGAGTCATTCATAGGAAAATGCATACACATTGAGGATATACTAAGTGAAATAAATAAATCACACATGTGTAAATACAGAATAATTTCTCTGGTGTGAAAAATTATAATAGTACACAAGATCCTAATGGGATAATTAACAATGTGAAATAGGAAGAAAAGGGCTAAAGGTGTAGGGAAAGGGGGAAGGGTAGGGGAAAGGGAATAAGGGAAAAGAAAAAAGTATGAGAAAATGAAAAAATGGAAATAAAGTGTTTGTAAATGGGGAGGGGAGGAGAGGGTGAAGGGAGGGCAGGGACAAGGGGAAAAAATGAGAATCAAGACCTGTCATGTAAAGGTACAAGATCCCAGTAATGAATGTAACTGCACTGTCTACCTAGAATGTACCAATAAACTCAATAAAAAGGAAAAAAAAGAAATAGAGATTAAACTAGAGGGTGAGGAAAAATAGTAAGAAAATGAGTTGAAAGAGAGCAAAAAAATAAGAGAAAAAGGACCTATTCAAACAAAACAATGTCATATTTAAAAGGGGAACAAGAATATTGGTTATTAAACTCCAAACACCACCAAAAGAAAAAAACATTTTAAGAGTAGAGGAGAAAGAACAGAAATCTAGGTCAAAGACAGACTTAAAAAAGACAGACAGAAAAATCCCTCCATATTTTCTGAAGAGTGTCTTTGTCCCAGACGCTGCCATCTTCCATCCCTCAAGTCACAGTCCTCTTTGCTCCTCTGTATAGCCCACGGGCTTGTGTGGGGACGTCTGATAGAGCAAAAATATACAATAAGACAGGTGCTTGCCTTGCCTTTGACTTGCCTCCATGTTTTTTTCCACAAAATGTTTTGTGCTGGGCAGTACTTAGGCCCAATGTATCAAAATGTTTTGTAACTGTTTGAACTTCCTCACTTCTCAAGAATGTTTTGTTAGCTCCACCCCTTATGGAAATGTTCTGTTAACTCTGCCCCTTTCAAGAATATTGTTTGATCCATCCCTTTCAAGACTATTGTTAACTTCTCCTCTCTGCTTCTGTAAGCATGCTAGCCCCCAGTGCCTTTCAGGAATGTTCTGTTACTCCGCCCCCCTGCTTTAGTGAGCATGCTCACCTACCCCTATAAGGATGCTCCCATTTCTGGTGAAGGGCTCAGACTTTAAAGGATGAACTTCTCTAAGCTTGCCGGTGAAATAAAAGGTTTTTCTCCCCTATCTTTGAGTGACTTCTGGATTCTCAAGTCTTCAAATTATGGGAGCTGCAATTCAGAGCTAAAACACTTGGCTCTGCCTCAGAGCTGGGGCCCTTGGCTGTGACACTGCTGTAACACTTGGTGATAGCACTGAGCTGTTATGCTTTGCCACAGCACCTCTGTGTGTAAACCCATGTGGTAACTGTCAAAGCAGGGACACAGGTCCAGGCAAGGGATGGGGTGGTGGATCCTGAGGCTTCAGCGGTGAATTCCTGCTGGTTGGGGCCCAAGGATGGGCATCTGATGTGTAATATTCCAGGGTTGTCGGGACAGGCTCATAACATGTGGGGTCTTGTGGAGACCCAGGACATATGTGGGGAGATTGCAGTGGCCCAGGGAAGGTGCAGGATGCTGGGTGGGGTGACACGGGTGCCCAGAGGGACCATAAACCCTTGCTGCATACCCAGAAATGGTGTGGCCTAGTGCCGGGCAGAGTGGGAGGTGGCAGACAGAGCCTCTGATGTGCCCAGAGTGGGGCAGGGCGACTGGCACAAAAGACTCACGTGTCTAAAATATGAGCCAAAGCAGGGTTGGGTATTCTGTCTCAGCCATGAGGAGAGTGACTGAGACAACACTGAAATATTTTGTCATTGTTTTCTGTCTTGTGTGTGTATGTGTGTGTTTGTGTGTGTGTGTAGTTGGGACAGGATCTCACTATTGTATAGGCTGGAAGTGACTGTGTAGGCCAGGCTGGCTTCACACTGGCAGAGATCTTCCTGACTCAGCCTCCCAAGGTGTCATTTCAGCTTTGTGACAACATGCCTGCAGTTTTTTTCAGTAACAATAAAAACATTCGTCACAGTACACATGGTGGCACACTCCTGCAATCCCACCTACTGAGAAGCTGAGGCAGGGATGACTGTTTTAACCCAGGAGTTTGGGCCAACCTCAGTTACTCATTAAGACTATGTGTAAAATTCAATAAGGGTTGGGGATACTGCTCAGGAATAGATGCTAGCCTAGCATGCACAAGGCTCTGGGTTCAGTTTCCAGTATCAGAAGAAAAATAATTCATTATTATTTACTATTTATTGTTTATGGGACTAGCTCATTTTCTGTTTAAGCCTGCTTTAGGTATTTGGGAAAACTTGTTTTTATGGAAGACAGAACTTTTCTCTGCTTTGCATAGTATGAAACTAATGGGTGAAGGGAAAGAAGAGTACTGCACTCAATTATTCTGTCTGGTTTTGTGTTGAAATTTGGAAGAATCTAGGTCGGTGGGGTGGTTAACATTTTCACTGCTTTGCAGTTTCAAAGTAGAAATATTTTATTGCTTTTAGTAATTAAAAAGGTAAATGTAGGTGTTCTTACAAAGCTTTAAACAGTACAGAATATACAATATAGAAAATTAAGCACCCCATAACCCCACTCTTATATAACCAACCACTGAATTAAAGGAAGATTTACTCATAAATACAAAATGTAATCAATACATGAAACGAAAACTACTGTACCTATATGATCTTTTACAAAAACTGAAAAAAAAATTTTTTTCAGTATTAGGGATCAAACTCAGGTCCTTGTGCTTGTGAGGTAGGTAGCATAACCACTGAGCTAAATCCCTGGCCCTATGAAACATCGATGCGGATTTAATAAAAATTTTAACATAGCTACATTGGGGATATGGAGGAAGGCAAAAGGGGCAGTATCATGGTTTTCAAAATCCTCCTCTATCCTTTCGTGAACTGACAAAGATATTTGCAGTTTATTATAGGATACATATGTGTGTGTCTGTGTGTGTGTGTGTGTGTGTGTGTTCACACATATAAAACAATTCAAAGTAGTTGTGTCTGAAAACAGAATTTGTTATTCCAGGCAAAGTAGATAGGTACATGCTGTTTGGTTATAAACCTGTTAGATCTACTATTTTATGGATTTTTGCTGGTATAGGGTTTTTCTCTGCAGTTCAGGCTGGCCTTGAACTTACCATGTAGTCCAGGCTGGCATGGAATTCATAGCATTCTCCTGCCTCAGCCTCCCAAGTGCTGGGTTGACAGGCATGTATTACTATACTCAGGGATTTTATGCATCTTTACAACTTCTATACATCCAGACTGGGATAAAGCTAAAAGATAATGAGATGCCCATATTTAAAGACATCCTTTTGAAAAGTTTATAGACAGTACTATTAATAAACCATTTTTCACTTTATGAAGTTTGAGTTTTAAATTTATTTCAAAAGTACTCATAAAAGAAACATGACTAAAGCATTTATAGTGAATTTGTCAAATCATTTTAATATGTACTTTCTTATAGGATAACAATACTATTACTATGGTAGTATTTGCTTTGTTTTTATTAAAATTAGCTATTTTCAAGATTTATTATTAGTAACAAATACTGAGTTTTACAATACTTGGGCCAGCCAGGTATGGTGGTACTCAGCTTCTAATTCCAGTAAGTGGCAGGCTGAGGCAGGAAGACTGCCGAGAGTTTGAGGCCAGCCTGATCTACTATGTAGTGAGTTCAACGCCATTCTGAACTACCCAAGACCCCGTCTCAAAAAACTACACCAAACAAAAAATTCAGAACCAGAATTATTTTAGAGTATGTACATATACAGACTGTGATATTTTTTGTTTTTTGGTTTTTTTTTTTTGGTACCTGGGATTGAACTCAGGTCCTTGCGCTTGCAAGGCAGGCCACTGAACCGCTGAGCTAAATCCCCAGCCCCCAGACTGTGATATTTTTTGGATGGAACCTCAGTCTAAGCATGAAATTCACTTATGTTTCATAATTACCTTATATACATAAACTAAAGGCAAAAATATAGTACTTTTCATGAATCACAGTTGCACGGTGTGCGATTTTCCACTTGAGTCATCATATTGGTGCTCAAAATTTTGGATTTTAGAGCATTTTAGGTTTTTAAATTAGAGGTGTTAAGCCAGATATGGTGGCACATGCCTGTAATCCCAGCACTCTGGAGGCTGAGGTAGGAGGATTTTGCAAGTTTGAGGCCAACCTGAGCTACATAGTGAATTCAAGGCCAGCCTACAAAGTGAGACCCCATCTTAAAAAAAAAGAAAAAATAGAGATATTAAGTCTGTACTATGCCAAGGCAAGGTAGAAATGATTTTGGGGTGGGGGCGTCCCTGGGAATTGAACCCAGGGCCTTCATAGTGAGCTACATCATTGGTGTAACTTTTTAATTTTTATTGTAAGACAGGGTCTGGTTAAATTGCTAAATTTCCCAGACTGGGCTTCAACTTGTAGTCCTTACACCTCAGCCTCACCGAACACTAAGATTATAAAAGTGTGTCACCGCACACAGTTCAAAACATGATACTTTTTTTTTGTTTTTTAGATTAGTCATATTTTGATGCTCAATAGTTACAGGTGATAACTCATCCCCTGACTAGATGGTATGGGATGAGAGCTCAGAGGTAGCAAGAAGTGTGACTTGACACAAGACTTTGTATTGTTTTGGGATTTATACATTATTACTTATGTCAGAGTCTGTGCCACCTGTAAAATGTGATACTTTAAAAAATTATTTATTATTTTCTCCACACTACTTTATGGTAAAAAATACTATCTGGTCCTAAGTGCTGTTATATGCAAATAATTTGTACTGCAGATAGTTTTTATTTTCCGGACATTACATGATACTACTCTAATCACTAAACTCTTCCTCATCACTGAAGTATGTGCTCTTCTTTATCCTTGGGCGCCGTGAATCCTCTGACGTTGAGGGGCCCCCCGCACTGGGCTTCCATTTGTTCTGTTCTTCGATCTTGGCTTGCTGGAAAGGGATTCAGAAAACAAAACCAAACCAAGGTTTTATTTAGGGTACATTAATTCCTGCATGGTGAAGTCAACACAAACACCAGGGCTTCCCACCCTCCTAGGCCAGGCAGACAACAAGACATCCTCCCCACGACCATGCTTGGTCCCCAGCACTGCACTGCTCAAAATCATCCCAGGTAACGTTTGCCTGCGTGCAGAAATGGGGATGGGCCCAGGGTTACAGGAACTATTCTCCCATGTTTTTTGTTTTGTTTTGGAGATTGGGTCTTGCTTTGAGTTAAGTTTGGCTTTGAACTCAGTATACTGTCCTTGACCTTGTGGCTATCCTCTTGCCTCAGCCTCCTGGGTGTACTGGGATTACAGACCTGTGCCACCATGCCTGGCACTTACTTTTTAAATTTTGAGACTGAGTCTGGTTCAATTTGAGACCCTCCTGCTCCACCCTCCTTAGTAGCTGGGATTATAGGCACGCATCCCCGTGCCTGGCTGTCCTGAGCACTTTGTTATGATGATTACTGTTACTATCACTGCTATTAGTTTTGCCATACTGGGGACTGAACCCAAGGGCACTCTACCACTGAGCTACATCACCAGCCCTCTTCATTTTGCATTTTGAGAGAAGGTCTCGCTAAATTGCCCAGGTGGTGGACTTGAACTTGCAGTCCTCCTGCCTCAGTCTCCTTCACCGCTAGGGTTACAGGTGTGTAGCACTATTTTTACTCTTTGATGGGCTGGGACCAAACCAGGACCTCACGAATGCTAGGGAAGGTCTTAACGCTGAGCTACATCCCCATCCTAGGCACTTTCTAGAAAATGTTTTTGGTTGGACCAAACTCAATTCAGTCAAACCGTTCTGCTCAATTCTATAATGAAAACAGGTAAGGGGTGGGGGCGTAGCTTGTTGAGTGCAGCCCCTGTGTTCAGTCCCTCATACTGCCCTGGCTGGGTGTGCTGGTGCATGTGTGTAATCCCGGCACTCGGGAGGCTGATGCAGGAGGATCACTGAATTCAAGCCATCCTGGCTACACAGGGAGATGATGGCGACGTTTCACACACCAAGGCCTTAGAGAGACAGCCTGTCTTCTCAGACTTTTAATGAAGGGGGAGAACAGAAGTTGCCACGAGACTGAAAAGATATAAAACTTCAATCTAAGGCAACTACCATACAGGATCTTACAAAAGAACACTTTACTCATCCCAAGCACTACGAAAAGAAAGGAAAAAAAAAAAGGGAAGAAAGAAAAGGTCAGCACTTCCCTAGAACAAAAGAGGCCTTGGGCTTGAGTCCCAGCCCCGCAAATGCAAACAACTTGGTACCTGGGACGCGATGGCTTGGCTGAGACTGTCCAGAGCGGGGTCTTCCCCTTCGTCTTCGCTTTCTGCTACGTCCTCCCTACCACATTGGAGGAGAAACAGCAGAATGTAATCAGGCAGCATTAAAGACAGAAGCTGACCCTAAGGTACCCAGCGAGGGCGGATTACTCACATTTCTTCTGGTTCGGCGATTTTCTTTTTCTTCTTTTTTTCTTTCTTCTTTGGAGGCTCACGTTCTCCAAGCATATTTTTCGGACAGGCATAACTTAAGTGTCCGCTTTCCTTTTGTTGAGCATTGAAAAGGAAAGATGCTGTATTTATTATTGTTATTAACTTACCGGGTATTCTGCAACTACAAGCTTTTAGAATTTAAAAAAGAATATTCTCATACTGAGTATATACAAAATGAATTAATGATAAACTTTTAGAAGGAAGAGTATGTGACATAATGAGTCCCAAGAATTCAGGAGTACGTAGATGTGGTGGTGCACTCTTCTGAACCCATGGTCTGGGAAGCTGAGGAAAAAGAATCACCTAGAGTGATAGCCTGGGCTAGTACAAGTATGTTCAAGGCCAATGTGATACAGAATGAGACCTTGTCTAGTGGGGGAAAAAAAAAGAAAAAAACCAACCCCCCACAAAAAACAACCAAAAAATCCTATTTATAAATTTGCAAGATAGTGTTTAATACAGTTTTTGTTTTTTTATTTTGATGGTAATGGGATTCAATGCAAGACCTCCCTGATGAGCTATATCCATAATGCTTTTTTATTTAGAGACAGGATCTTTTAAAATTACTGAATTGCTCAGGTTTGGCTTCAATATGAGATCCTATTGTTTCAACCCTTTTGGTGGTGGGATTTGGGAAGTAGAAAATATTAGTCCATTGCTAATTTTTACCTTTTCATGAATGAGTTGCTCAGGATTAAACCTAGGGCCTTGCATGGAGAAGTTCAATCTACCTTTGAGCTGTACTCTCTGCCAACTTGTCTCTTTTTTAATGTGGCTGAAAATTTAAAATTATACTTATAGCTTATATCATGCTCCTAAATGACAGAGATGGACTAAACAATTACTCATAATGAGCTGAACACTGAACTGTAAAACACAGATCTGTATATGATCTAGCTCAGTGGTGCCACTGCCTGCTTTGCAAGTGCAAGGTCCCAAGTTTGATCCATGGTACAAAAAAAAGAGTGGTGTGTGGGTAATGGCACATGCCTATAATTCTAGCACTCTGGGAAGCTGAGGCAGGAAGCTTTCAAGTTTGAACCCAGAGTGTAATCTCAATGAGACCCTACCTGAAAAGAAAAAAAGGGATGGGGATGCACGAGGTCAGTGCGAAGGCCCTGGGTTCATTCCCCAGTACTGCATAAAAACGAAAGAACAATAAAAGGAAAAATTATGTTTTTACATTTGACAAAGGAGCACACAGATCATAGGCCATACACTTTGTACACATGGGACATAGCTCAACAGAAGTGATGTCATTTATCCTTAATTGAGTTGCAGAGAGTATGTATTTAAAGACACGTTTCTCAGACAATTGCTATGACACATTCCTGTAATCCCAGCAGATTGGGAGGCTGAGGCAAGAGGTTGCAAGAATGATGTGCAACACCCAGGTCTGATCATCAGTTCAAAGAATAATAATGATAGATTTCCAAACTGTGTTTGGAACAATGGTAAACCAAAAAGTGTTAATTTGTCTCATATTGAAAAAAGAATTACTGGTGAAATAACAGGGAAAAACCAGGATAAATAGATGTAAACAGTATTTTGAGGAGGATTAAATATAAAAAAGTACAAAGTAGAACATAACAAATCTGTGGATCCCTAAACAAAAGAAACCAATTAACATTCATCTGGGCAGCAGTGCTATATCAAGGTGTCTGTATCACTCCCAGGTCTGTAAGGCTCACCATCACTACCCCAGGTTGGCCTTGAACGTGAGGTTCTTCTGCCTTGGCCACCTGAATGCTGGGAGCAGAGGCATATGTCACCATGCCTACATATATGTGTATTTTCAATTTTTCTTTATTTGCTTAGGCAGTTGTCACTGAATCAAGGATTTGTGCATTCCACATTTCTAAAACTTTAAGGTTTCGAAAATACAGTTCAGAACACATTCACTCAAGAGGATTTACAATCATCAGGAATGGACAAAGCATATCTATGCCATCGTTTACTCCCTCTTTCTAGTCATCTATGTGTTTTGCTATCTGCAGGTTGCATACACATGTATATCACTTTTTTTGTGAAGGGGTCTTATGATACCATCTCAGCTGGCCTTAAATTCTCAGTCCTCCTCCTCCTCCGGAGTACTGGGTTGCAGGTGTGAGCCACACATCTGGCTGTGTCTCTGATGGGAAATGGGAGCAGAGTGATAGTGAGGAAGGACCCAAACCATCTCCTCCTCGGTGACTGCAGCTAGGTAGTGTTTCTTACTAATTATCTCACCAGCACTCTAGCTCTGGGCTCAGTTTCTGCAGTATGTTACCAAGTCATTTTAGAAAGCAACAGCTGAAAGAGACAGACTAAAATTCCCTTGGAACCATTATGAGCTTGGTAGAAAACTCTTCTCTCAGCCAGGCGTGGTGGTGCACACCTGTAATCCCAGCACTCAGGAGGCTGGGGGAAGAGGATCGCTGTGAGTCTGAGACTACCCTAGACATAGTGAGACCCTGTCTCAAAAAACCCCAAAAAAAAAAAAAAAAAAAAAAAGAAAACTCTGGCTATGTATGTCTTCTAATCATTGAAACGTTAAGTGGATAACAGTGGATCATGAGGATACTCAGAGAAGAAAATGAAGGCATAGCACAGTTACAAAACATTAACATCACTACTAGGAAAAAACTCAAAACAGCCAAGTGTGGTGTTGCATGCCTATAGTCCCAGCTACCTGAGAGGCTAAGGCAGGAGGATAACTTGAGCCCGTCAGTTTGAGACCTACCTGGGCAACACAGTGAGAATGCATGTCAGCAACAAAAATTCAATTCGTAATATCTCACAGAGGATGGGACAGATGATAATGGTGGTGAACTGTGACACTGGCCACTGCCCAAATGTTACAGAAACAGGTAGCATAAAATAAATTGATCAATCGTTAAAAGCTTTCCGGCATGAAGTGAATAAGGAACACTTTTTAGTAAAGTTTTAAGGATCTAGAAACTAGAGAAAAGTATCACTCTGTGTTTACCTAAAAAAACCCAAGTTGGGTCCAGGGATTTAGCTCAGTGGTGCTGTGCCTGCCTTGCAAGGTCAAGGTCCTGAGTTTGATTCCAGTACCAAAAAAAAAAAAAAAGTAAAAACTCATGTTGTTTTTGTCAGTCCTGGAGAGTAAATCCATGGCCTCAGCATGCTAGGCAAGCTCTCTAACAACTGAGCTACCTGCCTACCCCAGATTATCTTTCATTTAATTCTGCTTTCTTTTCTCTGTCTGTTCTCTCTCTTTCTTTTCTGGTAGTAGGCAATGGACTCCAGGTGTCTTTACTACTGAGCTACACTCCCACCTTTCACTGAGACAGGATCTTGCTAAGTTCCATAGGCTGGCATCAAACATGCAATTCTCCTGCCTCATCCTTCCATGAAGCTGGGATTGCAAGCATGCAACACTGCGTTTCATAAATACCTTTCAGTTAAGCTTTACTTAGATGAGAGTCTAAGTAAAGCAACTTTCGTCACCTGGTTACAGCCTGTCTGAAGTTCTGGTGGGCACCAATAAAAGACTGATGTGGAAAACACCTTCAAGGAAACAAATGTGCAGAAGATTTCATGAAGCTTCAGGTGTACTCACCCCACATTCATAACACTTGGATTTATCAAAGTAGTTTCGCCTTCGGATGAATTCAGCTGCTCTCCCATTGTCAATAGCAATGCTTGCCTTTATCACTCTACCAAACAACTAAACCAGAGAAAAATGTAAATGTAGAAGGTTGTATTTCACTGGAATCTAAAACTAGTAATTCGATCCTATTCCTGCAAACCTTCAATTCCATTTCCAGGGTACATTAATTTATCAATTTTCCTACTCATGTCTGATAGTCTATTCTATACTATTTTTTTTCTTACATTCTGCCAGTGTTTTGAGAACCCAATACAACTTTGACATAAGTCAGATATTCTCTGAATCTACTGATATTCACCATGTTTGACCAGCTCCTGTTTTTCCATGTTTTTTGGTCTGAATAAATGCAAAGGCTTTTGGGATTTAAAAAGAAATTGATGCAAATGAATGGCTTACCTGTTTGTTGTTTATGGCTCTGGTACAGTTTTGTGCAGAGTCTTTATCCAAAAATAAAATAAATGCAACCCCTTTACTCTTCCTTGTATCTTTGTCTTTCATTATAGTAACCCTTAAAAAGTAAAAACAAAGAGCAAATTAAAAAGAAAGCAATAAAACATACTAATACTTAGAAAACTGAAGCTTTAAAAAAAGACTAAAGAAAAGATTGAATAAGAAAAACAAAATGAGGCATTCTACATAAAAAATAAAATTATTTGGAATCTTAACTGTATTTGGAAGGGAGAACTGGAGACTCAATGCAGGGGATTGCTAAACTACCACTCCAGACCCTTCTGAGATAAGGTCTTGGTATATAGCTCACGATGGCCAGGAACTAACTATACACTAGGTTGGCGTTTAACTTCCTATCCTGTTTCTCAGCCTTCCCACATGCTGATATTACAGGTGTGGCACCACTGTGCCTGGCTCTCTATTCTTAGTATTTTTCTGTTGCAGCTGCCTCCAGTTAGTTCAGTGGTTCTTAGCCCAGCTCCTGGTTATTCGAAAGGCAGGACAATAAAAGCAAAGAGCTTGCTTTTTTTCTGCCTCTGGAATTTGCCTAGTGTTGAAGCTGTGGGATAACCATGTGCCATTTAGTGTGATTTAGGAACAATGCTCAACAGGATTCTTTGGGGTAACAGCCAATGTAGGTAAAAGATGAGCTTGTCACTTGTTTACTGTTATGAAGAAAGGGAAACCAAAAGATGGGTCATGGCACAATACAATAGAAGCCAGTAAAAAAGAGGTACCACTGGTCAAGTCCAAAACTAAAGTACAATAATGAATTAAATCTGGTGTGAAAAACTAAAAGTGTACAAAAGATCCAATTGTATAACTGTCAATGTGAAATAGGAAGAAAGGGCTAAAGGTGTAGGGGAAGTGGGAAGGGTAGGGGAAAGGAAATAAGGGAAAAGAAAAAAATATGAGAAAAGGAAAAAATGGAAACAAAATCTTTGTAAATCGGGGAGGGGAGAGGGAATGAAGGACAGGGGTATGGGGCAAAAATGAGAACCAAGAACTATCATGTAAAGGTACAAGATCCCAGTGATGAATGTAACTGTACTGTATACTTAAAAAGTACCAATAAACTCAATGAAAAAAAAAATGAATTAAAAACAGAAAAGGTAGGAATTCTCTACCAGTAACATAAATAAGTGGGCAAGAAAGGAGAGCTCTAGCTTACAACAGAATGCCAATGGGTGACTGGTGAACAAACATGACTGCTGGTGACAGAAAAATCACCTTTGTTTGTTTGTTTGACAGAGGGTCTTGCTGTGTAGTTCACACTGCCCCTGAACTCACTACGTAGCCCACGCGATCCCCTTGCCTCACTGGGATCACAGTCCTGGGATCACAGGTGTGCAGTACCATGCCTCATCAGAAAGTCACCAGTTTGTAACGTCAGGGTAGAAGTTGAATCAGGAAAGAACCAACAACATATCTTAAGTCTAAAATAAAATTTTTATGTGAGCAGGATATTTGCATTGTTTTAAGAGTGCTGGGTGTGTTGGCTAACCTCATGGCATTTAGTATGGTTTAAGAATAAGGCTCCAGGGCCAGGGATTTAGCTCAGTGGTGCACCACCTGCCTCACAAGCACAAGGTCCTGAATTTGATCCATGCCTCCTGGGGTGGGAGAACCAATTCTCCACATAGTTCTTTGTAGTAAAGGCTACTTCCAAGGCTGCATTGAAGTGGATACAAGATGAGCTTGTTACTTCTTGTTTACTAAACAGATCAGTAATAAGCAATTGAGATTAAAGCAGTAATAAGGCTCCCAACCATAAAAAGCTCAAGACAACCAGGCATGTTGGCACATGCCTATAATCCCAGCACTGTGATCCCAGGCTGAGACAGTAGGATTAGTGAGTTCGAGGCCAGAAAAAAAAAGGGGGGGGGGCCAGGACCAGACAGGTTCCCTGGTGTTAAGAACTAACACCAATCCTCCTCAAACTTGTCCAAAGGAAAGGAACAAAAGAAAGATTTGTTATGAGAGGCAAGTAACACACTAATACTAAAAACTGAAAGAAGGACATAGCAAAAAAGGATACACCAATAACCTTCATGAAGATACACGTCAAAATTCTTTTCAACAGTATGTTACAAATATTCTACACCACAATCATATGTTTCATTGCAGGGATACAAGTATGTTCAAGATGCAAATCAATAAACATACACCATATGAATAGATTCAGCATTCCTTCACAATAGAGCTCTGAAGAAACTAGATATTGAAGGTATAGTAAAGGATATATACAACAACCCACAGCCAACATTATTGTGAATGGGGCAAAACTAAAAGTACTTTGACTAAAATTAAGAACAAAGCAAGCAAGTCAAAGTTCACTACTCCTACTCAATATAGTACTTGAAATATTAGCAAGATCATTTAGGCTAAAGAAACAAATAAAAGGGATACAAATTGGAAGGGAAGATTTTATGATCTTTTACTTAGAAATTTAGACCCTACTGAAAGAATTTTGATAAAATCCACTTAGCAGTAGGACACAAAATCAACATTACCTTTTCTATATGCCAATAATGAACTAGCTGAGAAAGAAAGCAGGAAAATAATTCTATTCAAAATATATATTAAAAAAAAAAACTACCCAAAATCCAAGTGATAAACCTAACCAAGGAGGTGAAAAACTTCTACAATGAAAATTAAAAACACCAAAAAAACCAAAGACATCAGAAGATGGAAAGAACTCCCATATTCATGGATTGGCTGAATTAATATAATTAAAATGGCCATTTTGCCAAAAGTAATCCACACATTCAATGCAACTGCCATCAAAATTTCAATGACATTCTTCACCAAAGGAGAAAAAAGAAGTCCTGAAATTCATGTGGAAGCACAAAGAACCAGAACAGCCAAAGTAATCCTAAACAAAAACAGCAAAGCTAGAGGCACCACAGTTCATTTCAAATCATACCACAAAGCCATAGCAACAAAAACAGCATGGTACTGGCACAAAAAGACACAGACCAGTGGAGCAGAGGACAAATGGGATTAAGAGTAAAGAAGAGAAGTCAAGCACTAGATGGAGGGTGAAATTTAGTTTGGTTGTCTTGCTACAGTATTAAGTGACCATACACAGTAAAATGTTCAACTCACTTTGAAAAACAGTATCAAGTAAGAGAGATGCTGTAACTTCTTGATGTTTTTATAATGATTATTAAAGTTAAGGTCTAAATCATCCTGCTGCTGCAGCCTTCTGGAGCTGGAATCATTGGGATACGGCACCACGCCTGGCCTTTTCCTTTTCTTTCTTGTTTTTTGTTTTTGATATAGGGGCTCATGATGTAGTCCAGGTTGGCCTTGATTTGGAGCAATCCTCCTGTTTCACCTCCAGAGTCCCAGGATTCCAATGTTGCCACCAGGCCCATATGGCTTTCTTTCTTGATCTTTCGATATTTTCTCTTGACACAGAGCTGTGCACATGTGATTTCCTGTTCCTGAATGTTCCTCCCATTATTTTTGACTATGTAAGTCTTACTCAGCCGTTAGGTTTCAACTCAAAGCATACAGACCTAAATAAAACTTCTTGAATTCTCCAGATCAGGCCCTCCCTGTTTATAGGTGCTTGAAACTCTGGGTTTTAACTTTATCCCATTCTTTTCTTAGTTATATATTTGTATGGAGATTTTGGTATTTTAGCAGAGCGGGGGAAAACACCCAGATAGGTAAATGGGACACAGAAGGGAGTAGACTTGGGACTCAGATTGTTGTGTTCACATCTTGCCTCCACCATGTAACCAGCAGTGACTTGAAGGTGACCGTGTACTATAGTTTCACGTGTAAGATTAGGATAATAATAATCCATACATTAAAGGGCATGTGAATGGAATGAGATCACATGTGAAGAGATGAAAACAATGACTAGCACATATAAAGGTACATGCTCATTTATGTGTTACGTCATCAGCATTACTGTTTTGGTTGAAGATGAGTATTGAAAATTCTGTACACATTCGCCCAGAAGCATTATTTCTGTTTTATTTTTTTCTGAGACAGGTCTCACTGTTGTTCAGGCTTTGAACTAGTGGTGATCCTCCTGCCTCAGGTTCCCGAGTGCTGGGTGTACAGGCATGTGCCACCAAGCCAGGTGAGAAGCATTTTTAATAATGATTTGTAATAGCAAGGAAGTTTAAAGTAAGTGCTCACACACTTTAGTTGTTCAATATTCACTTGTGGAAGTAAAAAGAAAAGTAACTATTCCAGACAAACATGCTTTCATTTTTGGTATTCAGATAGGATTTTACATTTATGTCAGAATGTATTTTATTTCAAGATAGTTAGGAATGATAGTATTTTACTTTCATTGTTTTGCCCCAAAATATAGTTAATTGGTTGATTTAAAATAGTTAAATAGGGCTGGGAATTTAACTCAGTGGTTCAGTGACCTGCCTTGCAAGCACAAGGACCTGAGTTCAATCTCCGGTACCAAAAAAAAAAAAAGTTAAATAAACAAGAGCCTCAAATTCTTTTTTAAAGACTTCTTTTTATAGTCTTTATTTACTAAATTGTATACCCAATATTTTCTTGACACTAAAATGTTTCATCCAGTCTTTACACTTTAGATAGCAGAGTTATCTTTTCATTCTTAGTAATATGGTAAGAAATTATAAAAGTTTGTAAAATAAATTATATATAAACTAATGCCAAAAAAATTAAATATAAGGGTGCATCTATTTAGTACAGTATATGACCAGCCACTTTCAATATCAAGTTAAAAAAAGAAAATCGCATGTACAATGTTAATGTCTATACCTTTATACATACATGAGAAGAAATATGTTAAAACATGAACAATAATAGTTTTTTCCCTCTGTTATGTCAGTATCTTGTAACATGAATACTTACTTTACAACTTTGCCATACTTGGAAAATATCTGAAAGAAAAGACCACACAATAATTTATAATTTGAAATAAAAATCATTTTCAGGTTGTATACAATGAGCAAATTCTTTACTATAGTTTATGAAAAATTCTGATTTTCAGTTTCCAGAATAAAAAATCCATTTCCAGAGTCTCCATTTTCTGTCCACCATTATGTTGGTGGTACTTTACAGTTGGCCCTATATTCCCTTCTACAATCGTCCCCCTAAGCATCCTCATTTGTAGTTTCAGACAGTATGTACTTATAGCTCTTATAGTTTTCTTTCTTTTTTTCCTGTTATCAGGATTGAACTCAAGACCTTGTGCTTGCTTTTTGTCTTTTTGTTCTCTGATGTGTATTTATTCTCTTAAAAAATTACTCAGAACATAATATATTTTCAGTATATTAAATCTTTATTTTGGTACAGTGAAACTATTTTTTAAAATTCAAGATGTCTTAATTAATCAAGTTCTCTGCATCACATATGCAACATCTCTCTGGTTCATAACTACCTAAAAAAGCAAAAAAAAAAAAGGGGCCCTGTTGAAGACAGGATTCAGATTCTTCCTACTTCCTCTCAGCTAGCTATTTGTAAGACAGGTATCAGGACAATTTTGTTCTCTGTAAGGTAAAGAGGTGAAAGAAAATGTTGAGGCCAGGTGTGGTGGCTCATGCCTGTAATCCCAGCACTTTGGAGGCTGAGGCAAGAGGATCACTATGAGTTCGAGACCAGCCTGGACTACACAGTGAGTTCCAGGTTAGTCTCAACTACATAGTGAGACCCTGTGTCTCAAAAAAACAAAACAAAACAAAAAAAAAGAAAATGTTGAAAGGTATTTTCCCCACCTCAGGCACCTTTTCATGAACTGAAAACAAAATGTATTAAACTGTTAGGCTTCTGCCATGTATGTAAAGTAAGATACTTGCAGACCAAGGGTTAGCTTGGAAAAACATCTGTTTGCAAACCTCTATCCTATTACCAGTTTCAAAAGCCAAGTAAGCCAAGCCAAGTATCCTGGTGCAAGCTGGTAATCCCAGAGGAGGTTGAGGCAGGAGAATGACAAATTGGAGCACAGCCTGGGCAATTCAGCCATGTGACAACATCCTGTCTCCAAAAATACGCCTGTAATCCCAGCACTGAGGCAGGAGGATTGCCAGGCCAGCCTGGGCTACATATTGAGTTCTAGGCCAGCCTGAACTACATAGGAAGACCCTGTCTAAATAAATTGAAGAAAGAAAGAAAAAGAAAGAAGAGGGGAGGGGGGAGGAAAGAAGAGGAAAGGGGAGAGAGAGAGAGAGAGACACATACAGGCTGGAAATGTATCTCAGTGTTATCTTGCATTGAATTCATGGTACTATTACTTCTACCCTCAAAGTGCTTTAAATTCTCTTTGAAAATTATGTTTCAATTTTTTTCACTTATTCATATTTGCAAAAGATGTCTTTGATATTCATGGCTTAAGTGCATCATAACATAATCATTTGGGTATTTCCCAGGGAGAACTAGTGGGGTAAGTTATGTTGTATATCCAGTAGAGGGTTCCATACATAAATAATGTATTAACATTAAAACACACGCAGGAAAAAACAAAAAACTTACCCGGTATAAATCGTTGTTTGTCAGGGAGAAGGGTAAGTTGGACACATACACTGTGCTTTTACTTGGAGCCAAGCCACCACTCATTTCTAAAATGGAAAACAAGCCAACACATAAGTTCTCTAAAGTAGGTATTCTTCATTCCAACTCAAACCAAATATACAGGCAATCACTGATTTAATTATGGTGAATAACACACCTTTCTTACAGTCTAAGCAGTTAGAATCATTCCATCTGGGAGAATTAAGGCTTCCCCCTTTCCCAGCACCACTTAAAATTTTTTTGTTTTGTTTTGTTTTTTTGTACCAGGGATTGAATTCAAGACACTGTGCTTGCAAGGCAGGCAATTGAACCCCTGAGCTAAATCCCTAGCCCACTACTTAAAGAGTTTTTATGGTCCTTCTTGCAAGTAGCTTCTTTGACCCTGTTAGTGCAGGCCTGTCTGCGTCAGGACAGGAGAGTCTTCAAAAAGATTGAGAAACTTGGGCGGGGGATTTAGCTCAGTGGTGCCGCCCTCTGCCTTCCAAGTGCCTTGCAAGTTGAAGGTCCCAAGTTCAATCCAGGTACCAAAAAATTCAAAACCAAAGAAACCCTGAGGCTACTGTGAACCTCCCTGAGGTTAAAAGCTATAAAGTGTTTTCATACCTGAATACCTTGCCCTAGCCAGCCCACTTCAAGAAAGGCCTGATGGCTCATAAATTCAGCCACTAATCTTTGATAACAGTTCTGTTGGGAACCATTTGTGATTGTCAGAAGCGTGAAGCTAAAATTTCTCGTTCACATTTAGGGGCAGTGAAGGAACTGGAATGGAAAAAAAAAAATATATATATATATATATACATATATAAATCAACTGTAATTATCTTCCGATCTTATTTCACGATGTAAGCAAATTAGCACGTAAGCAAATTAGCCATAAAAATTATTATAATTTTGCAATACCGGGAATAGAACCCAGGAATGCTCTCCCACTTAATTACAGTCCAGCCTCTTTTTTAAGAAAATTGAGACACGGTTTAGCCAAGTTCACGGCCTGGCCTCGAACTCAATGATCCTTGCGCCTCAGCCTCCCCAGTTCTGAATCGGACATATATTAATCCAAGTTTAGATTTTCGAGATAAATCGCATCTGGGTGGGGAGGAGACGATCACAAACAGCAAAATACAGTGCTAAGTCCCGCCGATTTGCGAAGTAAAGGAACAGTTGTTTGAGGTTTGGTGCCCGAGTTATTTAGAAAACAGCAAGAACGCCATTCACTGGTCGCTGTAATAAGTTTCCAGTTAGAGACCACAGCATTTAGACCTTGTGCAGAGAAGTACGCGGCAGGCGAAGGCTGACGTCCTAGAATCAAAGGGTCGACGGGAGGGAGGAAAGGGGCGAAAGGGCTGGGCTGCAGGGTCGGGGAATGGCCTCAGGTAAGGAAGCGGTTACCTTCAGGGAAGGTGGCCC